TAATGCTTCCGTGATGGGGGGGCCTCCTCCTCGTCGGGCAGCTACCGCGCAAGGCATGGGCAGCCACGCCAGAGATGCGGTCCAGTCTCGACTGGGACCCCGCAGCTGCGGCACGCAGGTGTTGGAGCCAGTCCACGCCGGCGCCGCTAATTCGGCGGTGGACAAACCTCCCTTTAGTAAACCTCCCCTTAGTGAAAACGGCCTGGGACCGAAACCGACGGACCTGGACCCGCAAAAATAACGGCCGCGACGCCCTCTCGCGATACGAAAACGGCCAATTCCTTAATCGACGTGTCAGGGTAGGAGGTCTGTCCACCTCCGACTAATCGCCAGGCCAGTCGCCGCCTGCCCAGAGGGTGATGAAGGCGCCGCGGGCAGCAGCCGACTGCGGGGCATGTGGGGCGCCGGTGCAGGCCTTCGCCGCCCGACCCCACAGTGTCTCGCCCTGGAGTTCTGGCAGGTGCGCGCCGCCCCGCCGAAACTGCCATCGCTGCACGACCTCGACGAGCCGTTCTCGTACGTAGTGCGAGTTCGCGTGTGCGTGTCGAGTCAGGTACTGCGCTCAGCGCTAGATCGCATGATGCCGTGATGTACGCTACGTGCTCGGGCAGATGACGACGTTGCCCGTCCGTTCGAGACAGTTTCAGTGCATATGCACTCGGATCAAATTTCGAGACATGGATAGCCAGTAAGACGTTCGGGCCGCTACTTCGAGGCATTCATTGCTCATGTCCGCTTGGGGACCGCCACCCTCCGACAAACGGTCAAACTGCGCAACACGGCTTTTCAGCCGATTGGAGGCGGGCAAGAAACGCATGTTGACCGCGCGTGTGAATGTAGGGTGCAGGGATGGGACTCCAACTGGGCCAAGGACTACCCACACATACCGTACAAGAAAGCGCATCGACACCTCAGCTGCCATTGAATACCACAAGGTAAAACACACGCTCAAAGCCAAGCAAAAACTCTCCGGCTTTTTTCACACACTAGGTTGAATATTTGCGTTGGTCAAATGACGTTTTGAGGGTTAGGTCCTTCCTTCCTCCCAGACGTGGGTCGGACTGTCGCAAAGGACCAGGGGAGTCCACCATGCTGCCTGTACACGCACACGGCACAGACTACTGAAAACTCGTTGAAGCGGTGCGGCGCAGACTTTTTTTTCATTTCAACCCCAGATGTTCCTGGGGCCAAGCAGGGTCTGGGCCGAGGCGCCTGTGTGGGAGCGAAGTGGGCGCCCGCACAAGCCGAAAAAAAAACCCAAGCAGAGGGGACCGACCGTGTTAGTCTGAAGACCCGACTCGTAGCCTGAGTGCTAGGGCCTCTCCGAGGGTTCCCCACGAGAGGCTCAAAGTAGGAGCCAAGGAGACTTCGACACTGAGCCTCAAAGGACGCACCCGCACAAATGCCCACTGCGAACAAGCGCGGCAGAGACATGCATGCAGCGGCATGCACAAGCGCACCACTACGTTGCAATGGGTCGTACACCCTGCGAAATGCTTAAGAAATCATGGGTTAAGAAATTCATAGTCTCAGAACTGGAATAAAAACCCAACATTCCTATACAAATCTTAGGATTTACATTGAAACGTTAAGAATAATCAAGACTCTGGCCGAAAACTTAAGTTTTCTTAAGCATCGCCTAAGGTGTACATGCCCAGCGTAGCCGCCCCGGTACGCAACGCGCAACCCGTCGCGTGCTGACACGGAGCACAACACGGAGATTGACAACGTACGCTTGGCGCGACACGCTCGCCTTAAGACGTGGGCCCCCACCACGTGGAGCCAACGCGCAACGTGTTGTTGAAGGGGCCCTTGGACACACAAATAAATACACACAAATAAAAGGATTCCCCATATTTTCCTATATTTTCTGGGTTTCTGTCTTCCCCCCCACTTCCCGTAGTTTCCCATATTTTCTTGGGAGTGGACGATTAATTGTGTCTGTGTGTTTCTTTCCCTCCTGAGTTGTGCGCACGCACGCTTCCAGCACGGTGCGCGCTGCGCTCCAGAACGGGCGGTTCCAGGGCAGCGAAGCTGTCCGGGGCAGCGGTGGATCGAGACGGCGGGAGCTGGCACGGCGAGCCCCAGCCCCCGCGGGCCGCCGCGCGGGCATGCCGCGGGCCCAGACCCCCGACATCATGTCTTTTCTTTGTTACCTGGACCCCGTGAGGTCCCGACCCATTCCTCTGGACCGGCTTTTCATCCCGAGTCGTCTTTTGACGGTCCCGAGGCCCGGCAAGGGCCCCCGGAGGCCGAAAATAGCGAAAAACTTCCCGTCATTTTTTCACTAGAACCACGCGCGCGCTTCGCGCGCGCTTAGGTTCTAGCCGACTCCGAAGACGGTGTAAATTTCCAGGGGACCTTTTCCATGTGGTCTTCCGGGTTCCTCCCTTTCACTCATGCGTGATTTTCGGGCGGATACTGCGAAGTTCAAGGAAGGTCTTGGCCTGTAGCGTACCAGCGACGACCAGCGACGACGACGACGGACCACCGACGATCAGCATCATTGTCACCTATCCACGTGTGCGGGAGAGGCGTGTCCAGAGCGTCTTGCGGGCGTCCTCGGGCCTCGACATTGGGTGGGCGGGTCGGGGGGTGCAGCCAGGGCCACGTGTTCCGAAGGGCTTCTGGCGGGCTTCTGAGGGTCTGCGTAGAGGCCTCCTGCGAGCTCAGTGGGGGTTTCTCGGGAGCTTCTCGGGTCTTTATGGAGCCTTTTTGGTGGCTTTTTGGGGCGTCGTGGAGGCCTCCTGGGAATCTCTTGGGGCCTCCTGGGGGCCTCTTGGGGCAGAAGGCGCCTCTGTTCGGGCATTTGGGGGGCTCTCTGGAGCCTCCTGGGAATATCTTGGGCCAGCTTGGGAGCCTCTGGAGGGGTCCGGGGCCCCTTCTAGAAGCTGAACCCTCTTGGAGCCCTGAAGCCCCCCCCAGCCCCCCATGCGAACCAGAGGTCGCAGTTCTGGCCCATCCCGCAACCGTGTCTGGGTTGTGGGTGAGAGGCTTCTCGGATGTTCGCTGGGATGATATCGTGGGATACCTCTCGGGGGGCCTTTTGAAAGCAGGTTTGAAGCCTCCACGGGATCGTTGTGAAGCTTGTCGGACATCTCTTAAGCATCTTTGGGGCCTCTTTGGAGCCTCTTGGAGCCACTTGGGGACCTCTTGGGGCCTCCTGGGGGTCTCTGGGGGCTGGAAACTCGAAAGGTCGGTTCGCGTTCCCTCTCTTGGGCCCATCTTGGAGCCGTCTTCAGGCCCTCTTGGGCTGTCTTGGGGGCCTCTTGGGCCGATCATGCGGCCCTTTTGGGCTGTCTTGGGGGCCTCTTGGGGGCCTCTTGGGGGCCTCTTGGGGCGACGTTGGAGGCTTCTTGGACAGTCTTGGAGTGTCGGCCGCTCGAAAACGTGAGAAGCAACAAATGTTGGAAACACACAATGCAAATCAATGATTTTGGCGTCTTGGGGCTCTCTTGGAGGTCCTCGTGGAGCGACCTTGGGGCCTCTTGGGGGCCTCTTGGGCCGATCATGGGGCCATCTTGGGCGGCTTGGAGCGCTCTTGGACCGTCTTGGCGGATTCCTGCCGTCTCCAGACGCCTAGGTGGACGCCTCGGGGAAGCGGAAAAAGTTCCGGGACTCCGAAAACGGGCCCCTGGATGCCAAAAAAGGCCCCCGCGGCCCACGGGACAACTTCGGTTACGGGGGGGTGGAGTTTGGGAAGAGTGTGCGACCCTGGGCCGTGGGGCCCCGGACGCCGCTTCTGTATACATATATATATATATATATATATATATATATATATACATATAAAAAATCACATGATACGATATGATATATTACCCGAGGAGGTGCGGGGATCGAGACGGCGGGAGCTGGCGCGGCGAGCCCCGGCCTTTTCCCCGCGGGCCGCCGCGCGGGTGTGCCGCGGGCGGCGCTGCCGCGCGGCCGGCTGCATTCACAAATTCCGCGTGCAGGCCGCGGGCGCCCGGCGGCCCCGGGCCGCCGGCCCCGGGGCGCGGCGCGGAGAGCGCCAGGGCCTCGGGAGCGCCCCCGCCCCAGGCGTTGCTGGAAGGGGGTGCGATCAGCGGGGGGGCGATCCTCCTCCCTCCTCCCTCCTCCTCCCTCCCTCCTCTCCCTCCTCCTCCTCCTCCTCCTCCTCCTCCTCCTCCTCCTCCTCCTCCTCCCCTCCTCCTCCTCCTCCTCCTGCACCTTTCGTGCCCCGTTTGTGCCTCGGGGGGGCCCCTTCCCAGACCCCGGGTAATGAAAAAAAGTCATGACGGGAGGTTTTGTTGGCTGTTTTTGGCCTCTGGGGGCCCTTCCCGGGTCTCGGGACCGTCAAAGAACGACTCAAGATGAAAAACTGGTCCTGGGGAATGGGTCGAGACCTCCAGGGGTCGACGTCATGAAAAAAACATGACGTCCGGGGTTTGGGTTCAGGGCTTTGAAGGTGCACGAGCGGTGCACCTTTCTGCACCCCCCAATTGGGCGGGTGGCAGAAACCCGGAAGCAAGAGACCTTGACATCCCTTGGGGTGCCGAAGATCAATTCCGCCGGCCTGCCGCCGCCTTCCGCTGGCCGAGGCGGCCTCGTTTCACTGCCGCCGGCCTCCTTCGAGGGAGGGATGGCAGCTCCTTCGGCCCTCGAAGGCGAGGACCTTTCTGGCACGCCCCGACCGCGTGTGACACGAGCTGATCCGCTGCGTCGCCGGACTTCGCGCTGCCTTGCGCCGCGCGGGGGCGGGACCAGCGCTGTCCTCGCGCTCTCGCGCCGCCGCCCTGGAGAAGAGCGGCTCTCAGGCCCAGGGCCGCGAGGGACGACGAGAGGCGCGGTCGTCTTCGCGCCCCCCGCGGGCGCCCAAGGCCCCCAGTAAGGCTAATCCGAGACGAGGCTAAACTCGGGCGAGGATAAATCGGGAATCTCTGAGATCCGGCGGCTCTGGGGGATGTCTCGGGCGCCGCGGCCTTCTCAGAGCGCTCCGGAACGTGCTGAAAGCGTTCCGGAACGCTCGAGGAGCGGATTTCTCCTCGTCCCAGCCCTATCCGGCCCAACCCCCCGACGTCGTGCTTTTTTCGTTACGTCGATTTTTCAAGGTCTCGACCCGTTCCCAGCGACCGGCCTCTCATCCTGAGCATTGACGGTCCCAGCCGCCCCGGGTAAGACAAGGCCAAACTCGGGGCTCGGGGCAACATCGGATCGGGACAGCATCGGAGATCTCCGAGAGCAGGCGGGTCTGGCGGCCATCTCGAGCGGGCGCCGCGACCGCTTCAGGGCGCTTCTGGAACGCTCTGAGAGCGGTCCTGCTTGCTCTGGCGCGGTGTATCCCGATCCTGCTCCTGCCTGGCCCGCCTCGGGGGCCCCCAGAAAACTTCACGGCGCGATGGCGTTGGCGCTGACTCTTACGTGTAGTCCCAGACCCCCGACGTCATGATCTTTTCACGACGTCGACCCGTGGAGGTCTCGACCCATTCCCCGGGACCCGTTTTTCATCCTGAGTCCTTTTCTGACGGTCCCGAGGGCCGGGAAGGGCCCCCGGAGGCGGAACATAGCGACAAACTTGCCGCTATGATTTCTTACCCGAGGGGGTCTGGGGTCGGTGGTCTCATCGTGCCCTCTCCGGCGTCCCCCGGCGATCGGGGCCCCGATCGGCGGGGCGAGGGCCAGGGTCGTCCGGGGGCGCAGCCCGGCCGGCAGACTCCAGCCGCGCCTGGGCGCCTCGGCGACAGGTGCCGAGGCCGAGAACGCCGAGGGGGGGGGCACTCCTCCCAGGACCTCCTCCTCCTCCTCCTCCTCCTCCTCCTCCTGCTCCTCCTCCTCCTCCTCCTCCTCCTCCTCCCTCCTCCTCCTGCTCCTCCTCCTCCTTCCCCTTCTCTTGCCTCTTCCTCCTCCTTCTCGTCGCCGTCCTCCGCCTCCTCATCCTCCTCTTCCTCCTCCCTCCCTCCCTCCTCCCCCCCTCCTGCTGATACCTCCCCTCGTCCTTCCCTCCCTCCCTTCTGCTGATCCTCCTCCCTCCTCCTCCTCCTCCTCCTCCTCCTCCTCCTCCTCTCCTCATCTTCCTCCCTCTCTCTCCTCCTCCCTCCCTCCTCCTCCCTCCCTCCCTCCCTCCCTCCCTCCCTCCCTCCCTCCCCTCCCCCTCCCTCCCTCCCTCCTCCTGCTCCACTTCCTCCTCCTCCTCCTCCTGCTCCACCTCCTCATCCTCCTCCTCCTCCTCCTGCTCCCCCTCCTCCTGTGACATTCACAAACAGCAGCATGGAAGTTCGTTTGCCGATCTCGTCATCTGGGGGCCCTCGCCAGGCCCTAATACAATCAAACAACGGCTCGGGATGAAAAGCTGGCTAAACGGGTCGGGCATGGCCAAACCTTCGACCTCATGATGTTTCGCGACGTCGACCCCCGGACCTCTAGACCATTCCCCCGCACCAGCTACTCACCCTGAATCAGTTGTTGGCGGTCCTGGGGCCATTGATGGCCCTGGAGGCCTAAAACTGTTTTCTTCTACGTATGCGTGCATGCTGAGGAAAGTCATACAACTAATCAGTACACACGTACCTGTGTATGTACATATCGATAGTAATTCATCATGGCCTCATCATGGCCTTCACGTGGTGGGGTCCTCGCGTTGAATCTGCAATGCCCCGCGTGGACTCCTGATCCTTCTCCTTCTGCTCAGTCCCCTCTTCTGTCCTCAGTTTTATCAACATCACCCTTATCGTCGCCATCATCCTCATCATGATCACCACTTTCATCATTGTCATCACCAGAATCCGCCGACCCTGTCGGCGTGTGCGAGGGGCTTGGCTGTTGGGGTCGTCGTTTCCGTCGGTCGTCGCCTCCGTCGCCCCATTTCCCTGCAGCTTCCTTCTCAAGCTCGCGAGCGAGAGAAAAATCTATCAGTGTCGTAATCGAGTCGAAGGGAAGCCCCTTCCCTTCGATCCCTTCCCCAGGCGGGGGGGTCCCGGGGGGGGTCCCGGGGGCGGTCCCGGGGGGGGGGGGGGGCAGATTCGTTTTCCCTCGGGCGGCCTCGACGCCTCGAAAACACTCCAAATGAGGTCAGAATGCCCAGAATGGCCCCCGAGACGGCCCAGGAGGGCCCCGAGTCGCCCACAGATCGGCCGAAAACGCCCATGATAGCCCCAAGACCGTCCAAGAAGCCTCCAAGACGTCCCAGGCCCCCTCCAAGAGACCCCCAGGAAGCCCTAAGAGGCCCCCACGAGGCTTCCAAGCGGTCCCTGAGAGCTTCCCAAGAGGCCCACAAACTACCCCCAAGAGGCCCCCAAGAGCGCTCGTCGTCGTCGTCGTCGTCGTCGCCATTCAGGGTCAGCGGCACCGGCCGTAAGGCCTTCGCAATCATCTGAATCACAGTTTCGAAGCACCACTAACAAGTCTCCTGCACCCACATGCAGCTCCACCGAAGGCCCCTGTGGCAGCAGCCGTATGCGGTAACACCTCCAAGTTCGCACATCACACATTTGGCGACCCGATAGAGAGCTCCACCGAGGGCCCCAACGGCAGCGGCCGCGCTCCGTACCCCACACCCATGGTTTTCGTGGCCAGCTCCACCAATCGTTCCAGTGGCAGCGGCCGCATGAGGCACCTCTTCGCAGTTTCGCACACCTCTCTTGAACGAAGGATTGCAAAAAAACCCGAAGGATTGCAAAAAAACCCTGGATTGCAAAACAAATCCTTCGTTTTTGTTGCAATCCTTCGGTTTTTTTTGCAATCCTACGCTCGCGACCACAAAGCGAGCGCCACCGAAGTCCATAGCGGCAAAGTTCGCACGCGTGCCCGCGTCCACTGCGGCACACCCCTCTCGCGCTCCGCGGCCCTCTTTCGAGCTTGGCCGACGGCCGCCATGGGCAGACTTCCTACGGGTGCCCGCGCCCCATGGCCCCATGGCGAGCTCCACCGACAGCCCCAGTGGCAAAGGCCGCATGCGTACCCGCACCCACGTCGCCACAACCCTCACACGCTTCGTGCCCCCACATCGAGCTCCACCGACGGCCCCAATGGGACATTTCGCATGCGTGCCCGCGTCCTATGTCGGCACAACCTTCACGTGTTCCATGATTGCATAGGGGGCTCCACAGAAGGCCCCAGTGAGAACGGTCGCATGCAGGCTGTACCCATCCCCCCAGCCTCCATCTAAACACAAACGCTTGGAGGTCTGGGTCCGCTGCTCGTGCGTGGCGGACGAGACTTGCAGGCAGATGGTAGCTGTAAAGGGGATAGGGGAGACATGCATGTCCACACCAACCAGTTCCCCCAACGAGGATTCCTGAATTTCTTGGACTTTGCGAGCGTTACGGTGGGCCCTAAATGGCCGAAAATGGCCGCAAGGCGGGCGCATAGTGCCTCCAGGCGGCCTCATGCACGTAGCTTCAAAACAGCGCGCAAGCGGGCCCAAGATGGACCCAACATGGCTCACGATGGCACCGAGGCGGCCCAATAGGCCCCAAATACGGCGGCCCCCAAGAGCCATCAACACTGCCTCCAGGAAGCCCCCCCAAAAAGCCCAACGAACATCTAATAGGCCTCATACCCGCAACCCAGGCACGGTGGCGGGATGGGGCCGAACGCCATTAGATAACGCTGGTGGCTTTCAACATGGCACAAGAGCTACACACATGGAGCGTGGCTCCAACTCAAATGGGACTCCCACGTGAAGCCGTTTCATGTTTCATGACTGGGCCCGTCAAATTGTGCAACACCTACTCGGATTGAGGACGCGTCTTGTTCAAAAACTGGCGTTCGCTGGACGATTCCGTGAACCGCTCTGATCATGGCCCATGGCAATGTTCTAACTTGAACGGTTTGTGGGCAGGTCCGCTTGGTAAGTGAAGTACGAACTGAACACTGACAGAAAATAATGATTCTCAATGGACCGTAGCACCGAATCTACTTCCAACACCGACATACAACACCTGGATTCGGTCAAGTCGTATGCGAAAATTCTCCCACTTCCAAGTTTGGAAATCAATGTGGCGCGCGACACATGTCACGGTAATAGTGTTCGTATGTAACAGGGCCGAGACCCAATGCTTGCCTTGTGACAACGGGGATGGTGACCAACACTGATTCGCCAACATGCGCTCCGACTTAGAGGCGTTCAGTCGTAGCCCAACAGGCGGTAGGTTCGCGGTAGCAGCTTTTCAGCTAGCCACCGTTGCCAACTATCTGAACGACGTGTTCCTCTCATTCCTCTCGACTGCTCTCGCGGTATCCATTTCATGCGTCGGGGATAACTAACCTGTCTCACGACAATCAAAGTCCAGCTCGCGTTCCCGACTGCGGGCGAGAAGTCCGACGTTTTGGGAATTCTGCGTCTGAATGAAAGGAAGAACCGACATCAGTTCAACGAAAACGGGGCGCTGTGAACGCTTGACTGCTACACGCCGAATCGCACTGTGATAACTGCTCGGAAACCACTAGCTGAATATTTCGCAGGACTAACGGAACACCAAGCCATATGTTTACAGTGTTGCATCTTCACTGGAACTCAACATTAAAAACAATGATCAGCATGAATGTTCTGTTTTCACGAAGCTCACCTTAAGGCACACGCGCTATTATTTAACATCTGTGTAGCCCAACCACACTCCCATGCCTTCCGCACGCATCATTCATCAGAAAAAAGGCAACCTCAGATCGAAAGCTCGCTGTGGAGCAAGTCCACGTCGAACGGAAGACATTGAATAAAAATAAGGGTAGTGGTATTTCAAGGTTGCCAGAACTCCCGTGCCCTGCACCTCCTGAGTCATTCCACAAACCTAGACTAGAGTAAAGCTCAGCGGGGCCGTCTTTCGTCGCTGCTTATCCCAAGCCCGTTCCCTTGGCTGCGGTTTCGCTAGACAGTAGATCGGGACGTTGGGAATATCAATTCATGCACGTCGCTAACTAGGTGACGAGGCACTGGGCAACCTTAAGTGAGTCGTAGCTACTCCCGCCGTTTACCCGCACATGTTTGATCACGCTGACATGTTGAACACTGGTCAGAAAGTACATAGTGCCAGAATAGGGTTTTCGCTTGAAAAGACACACCCGTGGGGCCATGACGAAAGGAGTCGGGGCGGAGGGGCGTACTGCTTGCAGCATCGATGGCGCACCCTGGGTCTACTCTGGTCATTCCTCCTCCTCCTCCTTACTCCTCGAAGCTCGAAGCTGCGGACCTGCAGTTCCCTCCAGGGGGTGCGGCCCTCGCGATCCTCCCTTCCAGCGGTCGCCCGAGGGAGGTCAGAACGAAAAAACAGGAACTGCTGGGAAAAAAGACGGGTGGACCCTCGGCGGACACGGCGCTGGTGCAGGGAGGGATGCATCGCCCCTGGATCGCGCCAGGGAGCGTCCGTCGCCGACCCAAGGCATCCGCACGGATCTCCTTCTAGCAGAACGGAAGTGGAGCAGGAGGAGGAGGAGGAGGAGGAGGAGGAGGAGGTGGAGGCTGGCGGCGGATGGTGGCGGATGGCTGCCAGCATGCTCGTGGAGAGTCAGCCCGAGCGAGGGCCCCAGCCTTTCTCCTGCCGCTCCTCCGCCTCCGCCTCCGCCTGCTCCTCCTCCTCCTCCTCCCTCCTCCTCCTCCTCCTCCCCTCCTCCTCCTCCTCCTCCTTCGCCTCCTCCTCCTCCTCCTCCTCCTCCTCCTCCTCCTCCTCCTGCTCCTCCTCCTCCTCCTCCTCCGCCTCCTCCGCCTCCGCCTCCTCCGCCTCCTCCTACTCCTCCTCCACCTTTGTGCGGGCGAGCACCCGCGCTCGTCCTCCTCCGCTATCTCCCGATACAGATGCCCCCCATAAAGGCTGACAGACCACCTCAACCGCCAGCAAGCAGACCAGTCACACTAGGGTAACATCGGCCAGTAAGGGTGGACGAACCTCCGACCCAAACCGCTTGATTCTCCTCCTCCACCTCCTCCTCCTCCCTTGCTGCTCTCCTCCTTCATTTGCCTCGGGCCCCCCTCTCTCCATGGCGACCGACTCGCCCCCCCCGCCGCCGCCGGCTCCGAGGCGGGCGCGGCTCAGCCAATGCCCGACCTCCTCGGCGTGCCTCCTGCGGAGGGGACGGGCGGCAGCGGCACGCCCACGTGGCAGCCGACACCCGGCCGGGAGCTCGCGGGCTGCGGTCGGGAAGCTTTGCACGGCGTGTCGCCGCGGCGGCCCCTGCGACACGCTTTGCACTGCGACTGGACAGCGTGCCGCTCCGCACGCCAGGGCGGGAGGCTCGGAGAGGCTCGAGAGACGCTGACGCTTGAGGACTAGCGTGTCGCGCCCCAGCGCGATGGGCCAAAACCGGCGGAGCGACACGCTACCCAAAAGTTACCGACCGTAGCAAGGGCAAGGAAAGTCGCGCTTCGCGCTCTCGCGCTTCGCGCTCTCGCGCCGCGCCTCCAGGGGAGAAGAGGACGAGGAGTAGGATGAGGAATCGCGAATCGTGGATCGGGAGCCGCGAATAGCTTCGCGCCCTCGCGTCTGCCCCTGTGGCCAAGAACATGAGCTCCCTCGCCGAAGGCACACGGACACGCCCAAGACGAAAGGCAGCCCCGGGTGGAGAACCCGAGCACGAAGACCGGGCGCCGCTCCGAAGCCAGGGCCAGGGCTGCTCTCAGACCCCGCGCCAGCTGCGCGTGCTCGACCAGGGGCCTCTTCGTTGCACCGTCGGCCTGTGGCGGCCTTGGGCATGCTTCGGCGATCTCTGGCGGTCGTCGGCGGTCTCCAGCGGCCCTCTTGCGGGCAAGATCTATATCCATGTCCACTGCGCCGGGGACCTTCTGGGAGGGGGCGCCAAAAGGCCGAGGCGCAGTGGATGTGGACAAACATCTAGCCTGCGGGAGCCAGATATCCAGGAACCGACCACAACGACGTTTAAAAACGAAATGTCGTTTTCAACACACAACGGAACGATGCCCAACGTTCAAAACGAACGTTTAAAACGAAGCCGGCGCCGAACGAAAACGAACGACGAAACGGGGCGTTCAAAGCAATAACGAAAAACGAAACGAAACAACAACGAACAACGAAACAACAAACAAAGCAAGGGCCCAAACCAAGCTAAACGGCGTTGTGGTTGTTCCTTGCAGGTATCTATCCATGTCCTCTGCGCCTCCGGCTTGTGGAGAAGGGAGCCCGGATCTCCAAGATGCAGTGGATATGGACACAAGTCCGGCCCGCCCCTCGTTACGAAAACAGGACGGCTGCGCTTCAGCATGGGGTCCGAGGTCGAACGCCTCGCATCGGCTACGCGCAAGAGTGACCCTAGCTTAGGTCGAGCGTCCCCCGACAGGCGAATCTGGGGCAATACATTAAAGATACCCCAAAATATTCCAAAACAGTCCAAACATATTCAAGAAAATCGTCCCCTGACTATTTTGTTTCACCATTTTTGAATATTCCTCCTGTAGAAGGACAGCCCGACTTAACACTGGGCGAGGGTGACTTTGAGTGCGCGGCCAAGGGGGGGCCCCTTGGGAACCCCACCAGGCGCGCAAGTCGCTGCCATTGCACCGCACTCAGCGATCGGGGGGCCCCACTGGGCCCGCACCAAGGACCACTCCGGCGAGAGGCCGCTCTTGCACGTAGTCGAGCGGGCGAGGCAGCCGGCCAACGCCCCAGCGGCGCCCGCGGAGAAGGCAAGAACGTCGGCCCCACGAGAAGAGCTGTGCAGGCCGTCCGATCACGACCACGAGCTGACGTCCCCCCCGCGAACCGGCCGCTCTCGAAGCCACGAGCGGGCGACCCACACCTCCGTCCCCTGAGATCCTGCCGACTCCGCTTTTTCGAGCCAGGCGTTTTCGCGCAACTTCGGGCCCCAGGATCCTCACGCATCGATCGGGCTCGAAAAACGACGCAGAGAGATCGGGTCTAGGGCTCTGGGCTTGATTTTTCACGGCGTTCCAATTTTTTTGAGACGTCGGATCTCAGGGTCCTTCCCGCCCTCTCTCGGGGGACTCCAAGAGGGGGGGGGGAGCCAAGAGAGGGGTTCGCAGATCATGGCCCGAAGCATGTGCGCGGACGATGGGGGGGCCAGGGAACGCATTGCAATGAGAAGAGGGACATGAAATCTGGGGAGGCCCCCCCACCAAACCATCACCACCCTCTTGGGCGCCCCCGCCCTCTCTGCGCCCCCCCCCCGCTCCCTCACCCGACTCTCCTCCCCTCCGCGTCCTCCCCTGCGTCGCCCCTCTTGCCCTGCCTTCCCTCCCTCCCCTGTCCTCTCCTCCATGTCGCCCCCCCACCCCCCCTCGCCTGGGCATAAGCGCAAAGGGAAGGGGGGGGCCGCGGACAAGCGTGCGGGCCTAGCTCAGACCAGGCAGATACCTCTGGGTTCTGGCGTGCCTGGACACATGCAATGCGAGACATAGGAGCAGAGGAGCAGGAGCAGACGAGGAGGAGGAGCAGGACGAGGAAAACGAGGGGGAAGAGGGTGAGGTGGAGGAGGTGGAGGACAAGGAAAAGGAGGAGGGGAGGAGGAAAAGGCGAAGGAAAAGGTAGATGAGCAATCCGAAGGGAGGAACGGCGGGCGCTCCCCTGACCCCTGACCCCTCCCACTCTCCCCCTCTGCTCCCCTATCGGAGTCCGCCGAGAGGGGCATGGAGGAGTGCACGTCTGAGGGACAACGACAAGGGGGGATAGGCATAGGGGGGGGGATGCATCAACCTCGAATGCCCGACACATCGCCCATGCGTCGTCGCTACATCGTCGATGCAGACCGCCCCCATGTATCGTCTGCACATCGTCGATACACCTAATATCAACGATGCATCGTCGATGCATCAACCATTCAAAGGCCGATGCATCCCCTCTGCGCCTTTTCCCCCCCCATCGTTGCCCCCGAAGGCCGGATGATCCCATCGCAACGCCGATGCATGGGCGATGCATCGGCGACGTCGGGATTGCAGAACATCGGGCTCGGGACCGCGCCGCATCGCCCGGCACGACTTTCCGACCCAGTCTCTCTGTCACCAACCATGCGGCCTGGAAAAATATGGCCCCCATCCTCCCTTGCCCCCCTGCTCCCCTTCCTCCCTTGCCCTGGGCGATTCGCCAGGGGGAGACATCAAGCTTGAACAGGCGATGCATCGCCGAGATCGGCGACAGGCCATCGACAGCGAAACCGCACGGTCCTGGGAGGGGTGGGCTAGCGGGCTCCTACTGGCGATCAATGGGCGATTGGGGGCAGATGCATCGCCCTCTGACTCTATCCCCGCAAATGTTCCTCGTCGAGAATTGTTCCGGGCCACAGGGCGGTGTCTCGGGCGACCCTTCGGGACGATCTCGGCACCCCTGGAGCGTTCTCGGCGACGCGCAGCCGCTGCAACGCATCCCGAGGCTGGAAGACCAGCGAGAACCGATGAGAACGGCAGACATCCTCGAACCTCGAAGCACATCGCCCCCCCCCCCTAACCGAACGCTGCACACGACTGCCGCTGCCGACCCTCGAGCCCGAGCCCCCCCCCCCTCCGCCCCTCCGCGTCGCACGGGGGAAAAGGAGAAGGAGGAGGAGGAGAAAAGGAGGAGGAGGAGAGGAGGAGAAGAGGAGGAGAAGAGAAAGAGGAGGAGAAGAGGAGGAGAAGAGGAGGAGAAGAGGAGGAGGAGGAGGAGAAGCAGCGTTCCCGAGCCCAGCAGCGGGATTGACTCTAAAATTGCGTTGCAAGGAATTCCTCCTCCGCCAGGGTCTTTGTGAAAGTCGTGCCGATGTGGCGATCGCTGCGCTCGAGCGGGAGGGTCATGCCTACCACAAGGCCTTTCCTTTTACTCTCGCCGGGGGGAGGCGGGGGGTAGTGTGTGCCCAGTGTGGCGTTGACGGAGTCACCATCTCTAGACAGGTTAGGGGGTATTGTCCGTCATTGCCCTCAGCATGGGGCAGCCAGGTTCTGCGACGCCTTGAGCAAGGCAGATGTCAACTGGCCTCGGGGTGCGACAAGGAAAGTTATAGATGAGAAAGAGGAATGGAGGTGAGAGAAGGAGGAGGCGGGGGAGGAGGAGGAGGAGGAGGAGGAGGAGGAGGAGGAGGAGGAGGAGGAGGAGGAGGAGGAGGAGTTGGAAGAGGAGGAGGAGGAGGAAGAGGACGAGGAGGAGGAGGAGGAGGGAGAAGGAGGAAGAGGAGGAGGAGGAGGAGGAGGAGGGGAAGGAGGAGGGAGGATGATGATGAGGAGGAGGAGGAGCAAGAGGAGCATTCTGCTACCAGGATTCTGCTACCCTGATCTGCCGTGCCATGCGCAAAAAAAACGCGACCGGCGACGATGAGACAGCACCATCCCCCAGGCCTCTCCTGGGCGACATGGGGCTGCACCAGAAAAAGGCGGTTGGTGGTCGGGTGTCGCCTTTCCCCCAACCGATTTAAACGCCCAGAGATCTTCCAAGGATCGCCCCCAGGACACTGAGACAGAAGACCGATCCACCTGTCGTGAGGGTACCTAGCACACCGACGGCAGAATACTACTCGCGGGATGCTCACGAGACGGTGGCCTCTGGCGCGGACTGGCTCTATCTTACCTCCGTCCCCGTCCAGATTGGCCCGAGAAGGCAGAGGGAGGCCAAAAGGCGGCGGTAGAGGTCCCGCAGGCGCCTTCACTCCCCCACTAGGCTGCGGGGGTGGGGGCACGGGAGACTGGCTCGGAGCCGCCCTGCGCGGTTCCGAACCCTCGGAGGCGTCGACAAACCCCTGGCCGAGAACCCCGACATAAGCGGAAAACTCGAACACATCCGAAACGAGTTTGTATCGTTGGATATACGCTTCTCGCTGCCAGTCTCCATGCTCGAGCTGCTTGGTTCCTAGCTCGGTGTACTGATCAGCATATTCATTTCCAGCTAACTGCGCGAAGCCCATGACTTGACGCTGGGCCCGCGTCGCGTGCACCTTCACTTTCTGAAGCCGATTTCCTCTCGGGCCGATGCCACCGTTCTCGGCGCTCAGGGCCCAGCAGCGACTCCACGTCTCTGTATGCATCGTGCTCGGCCTCTCGGCCCAAGCTGGGCCGCGCGCGAAGCCGTCGAGAATGCTCTGGCAGTCGGTCCAGATGATGAGCGGCGGGCAGGCCACCTCCAGCACGCGCCGAACTGCCTCCAATTCACCTCGGAAAATCGCCTGCTGCCATTGCGCCCCAGGCTGGGGCCCGTAGCGGTCGAAGCGCAGTTTCATGTCGGGCGTCAGCTGGACGGACGACCAGCCTCCTCGCCGCAGAGCCGCGCCACTGCCGTACAGCAGGCTGCCGTCGGTGCAGACATCGCCTGTGGCAAAACCGTCGAAATCACCGTGGACCAGGAAGGTGTCCATCGATGGCAAGTCCCACAGCTTGACCTCCACCGCGGGGTCGTTGGTCAACCCGCGGCCCCAGAGTCGAAGAAGGTCCGATGCCGGTCGGTCCCTCGCGCCCCCGGGCAAGTCTGGCAGGTGTCGTTCTCCGCCGCGCCCTTCTGGAGAAGGCGCTGCGGCCAGGTGCCTTCGCACCAGAAGATGCGAACGCGCGTCTGGTGCTGGGAGAACAAAAAGCCGACACCAGCACCAAGAAAGTATTTGTTTCACGAAATGTCGAATTGCGTTTTGGACCAGCGCGAGCCCGCCCTGGCCTGAGGAATCGCAGAGTGGGCGAGGAGGACGGGGGAAGGGAGACGTCGCGCAGCACGCAGGAGGGAAAGCAGGAAATAACAAGTGCAAGCGAGAAGCGAAACTAGCGGGCGCTCTCGGGAGAAGAAGGAGAGAAGAGGGAAGGCTGCGGCATCCCCCATGGCTGAAGCTTCACTCCCCCCACCGCCGCCCTCCACCACGCCTACCCCCGCCCGCCCGCCCCCCTCTCATTCCCCCCACCCCTCACCCACCCTATGTCCGCCCGCGTCGCATCCCTGACCCTCGTCTGGCCCGACACCAAGGCCCGACGAGTTCGAATCCGCCGCTCTCTGCGAAAGGGGGCGGTGGCCGCCCGTCGCGGCCTGGGCATAAGACCGTGGCCCCCTCTTGACCCAAGCCCGCAGCCCGTGGCAACCTTCCGAAATCGTCGAGGGGCTCAGCTCGCACATGGGGCCGCCGTTCCAAAGGGGGTCTTGGTGCTGGTGTCGGCTTTTTGATGTTGCAGGGAACAAGAAGCCGGCACCAGCACCAAGACGCCACTGGAAAAGTTCGGAGCGCTTTCCCTGTGGGGGCTGAGCGACCCAACGAAGCCAAGAAAGCTTGAGATGGCTCGCATTGCTCTCCGACTTTGCAAGCCACGGTGCTTCCATGATAGGGAAACGTCCCATGCAGCTCATGGCGCCCCTGAGGCCCACGGGGCTCCCATGGCCCGCGGGGTTTCCAAGGCTCAGACACCAGATGTGGCCCTGACGAGTCAAGGAGCCAATGGTGCCCGCGCGGCATGCTGGGCCAGCGCGGCGCGTTGGGCTTATGCGCGCTGCGGCGCACGTTCGGCCCATGAAGCCCTTTGTGGAACTTGTGGGGTTCATGGGGCTGGCTGGGTTCGCACGGCCCGCGGGATTCGCGCGGCCCATGGAAATCCTAACGCTCACTTGGGGAACTGGAGACGGCCCGTTATGTTCCCACGCGCTCAGAGCTGGCATTCATCAACTCTGGACACGCGAACCCGAAGACACGGGCGACGGCATTCAACAGAGGCTGCAATGTTTTCTTTTCTAGTGGTTTCTTGGTGTTGGTGTCGGGTTCCTGTGCGCCGAGGTGCGCCTGCGTCCTGCGTCCGCGCAAGGGACGCCCGAGGAGCGCCCGCGCGGGCTCCGCGAACACAGACCGCAGGCCCAGCTTTCGCCCCGCTTCTCCAGCCAGGCGCCCCTGAAGCCCTGCCCGGTGGCCCCCTTGACGCAGTGCTGCAAGGCGTGTATCGGCACGACCCGCAAGTCCAGCACCTCCGCCCCGATGGTGATGGAGTGCGCCGCCTGCGTCATCCAGCCCAACCTGCGTACCGTCGCCACAGTAGCCCCGGCGGGCCCTCGTACCAGCTGCCAGGGGGACTTGGCGCGCCCCACTCGCAGCACCCACTTATTTCATGCCGCCGGCAGCTTAGGGATGAGCTCTGGCTGGCTGTCAGAGGAGGAGGAGGAGGAGGAGGAGGAGGAGGAGGAGGAGGAGGAGGAGGAGGATTGTCACGGCTGTCGTTTAAGGCACGGGTAATGTTTTACCGCTTCGTGCCCTAACAATTGTGGCATGCCACGTTCAATTCCAATTCCAAATCAAACACCAGAAAGCACTGACCTATCCTATGGTCTGCGAAATATCAACATGTCAAAGCATGAACCTACCTGACCACTCCTCCAAGACGCGGCTGGGGGACGGGGCCAGAAAGAGGAGGAGGTGGAGGAATACGGGAAAGGCGAATAGGATGAGGACGAGGAGCAATAGGAGGAGGAGACCAAATAACGCAATACCAGACAGGAGACGCCTCTTCCGTACCAAACACTTCGATCTCCCCCCTCCTCCGATTTACATGGGACATCCTCCAATGCGCGGGGGCTGCGTGTCCCATAACAGGGACTGTGCGTCCCATATGCCAGGACTGCGTGCCCCATAGTCGAGACTGCGCGTCCCATGTGTCAGGAATGTGTGTCCCATAGCAGGGACTGCGCGTCCCATTTGCCAGGACTGCGTGTCCCATAACAGGGACTGTGCGTCCCATTTGCCAGGACTGTGTGCCCCATAATCGAGACTGCGCGTCCCATGTGCCAGGAATGTGTGTCCCATAGCAGGGACTGCGCGTCCCATTTGCCAGGACTGCGTGTCCCATAACAGGGACTGTGCGTCCCATTTGCCAGGGCTGCGTGCCCCATAATCGAGACTGCGCGTCCCATGTGCCAGGAATGTGTGTCCCATAGCAGGGACTGCGCGTCCCATTTGCCAGGACTGCGTGTCCCATAACAGGGACTGTGCGTCCCATTTGCCAGGACTGTGTCCCATAATCGAGACTGCGCGTCCCATGTGCCAGGAATGTGTGTCCCATAGCAGGGACTGCGCGTCCCATTTGCCAGGACTGTGTGTCCCATAACAGGGACTGTGCGTCCCATTTGCCAGGACTGTGTGTCCCATAATCGAGACTGCGCGTCCCATTTGCCAGGAATGTGTGTCCCATAGGAGGAGGAGGAGGAGGGAGGAGGAGGAGGAGGAGGAGGAGGAGGAGGAGGAGGAGGAGCAGGAGGAGCAGGAGGAGCAGGAGGAGGAGGAGGAGGAGGAGGAGGAGGAGGAGGAGGAGCAGGAGGAGGAGGAGGATATGCGCCCCCGCCAAACGTTGCCCCCGACCGAGCCCGAGCCCCCGCCCGTCTAACGCTGCCGGGGAGCGCCGGCGGGCGCCTCTGCAACGCCCCGCGGCGCCAGGCCGCCAGCGCGGCGAGGCGGAGCGAGTCGCGGTGGGCCGCCCGCAGCGCAGCGTCCGCCTGCCGCAGCCGCGCGTCCGCGAGGAGCGCGGACCGCCGGCGGCGCCACTCCTCGAAGGGCAGCAAGACGAGACACAAGACCGACGGGGGGGATTCGGGGCCGTTTTCAGCCTCTCAGGGCCCTCGCCGGGCCCCAGGATTGGCAGACACGGGTCCGGGACGAAAAAGGTGTCCCAGGGAAGGGGTCGTGACCTCTGGGGCATCGAATGGACGAACACAACTGTTTTTCTGATGTTTCGTCTGCTTCGCCTTCTTCTTTTTTTCATATTGCGACTAATCTTACTACAACTAATTACTCCTACTAGTACTATTATTGATTATTACTAGCCGTCCTCTGAATATTACTACTCTTCTCTTCGAATATTGAGATTACTATTTGTCTTATCAGTATTCTTCTTCTTACGGTTATTATCTCTTGTTCCGAATAATATGAAGATTATGTTCTTCTTCGCCCTCCGCCGCCACGCGGTTCCAGGCCGCTGCTCATCCTGGAGAGCCCTCGTCGCCACGACAGGATTGTCCTCGAAGTCCTGGTCAGAATGCACCCCGGGAGAGGTTCGTGGTGTATGAGGACATCAAGCGACCACAACAATGGAACAAAAACACTCGGAACACCGAAACCAGCTTCGTACTGGTTGTAGTCGATGCGACGTCCAAGGACGGTCAAATCGATCACAAACACAACCAAAGCGCTCATGTCGAGGTCGGTGGGTTCTCCCCCGAAGGGTCCTCCCGAAAAATCCACTTAGCTGTGGTTGTGGTTCTGTTGTGTATAGGAGCACGGGGGAAACCAACAGGTACCAATACCGCTACTCCACGGACGCCTCCACGGGTGCGTTCTGACCAGGATTTCGAGGCGAATCCAGCGGTGGCGACGAGGGCCTCCCAGAAAAGAAAACGATGGACAAGTAATTAGCGGTATGGGTACCTTTTCCTCCTCCGAAGTACGTCGCGGCATCGGCAAACGTAAACATTCGAAACTTCCGCGCAGACCTCTTGGGTCGGCGCGGGAGTCCTCTTGGCGGCGCCTTCCCGGCGCTGCCCCTGGCGCGCTCCCGCGCGCCGGGGAGGGGGGGTCTGCAGCGCCGATCCAAGAAATCCGAAAATCTATGATGATTATTGATGCTCCTCGCAAAACCTCACTTATGACACTACCACCTACCACATCTCGATACAAAAAGTCGCTAGGCGAACCGGGAACACCGCCGTTGCCTCTGCTCCGAACTCGGGAGAACTGGGGACCATGGCCACGACTGAGCGCAGCAAGGTCGGTGCCGATCCTGGTCACCGTCCGTCTTGGTCACCGTCAGCTCGTAGATTATACTCGCGAATCGGCGATGGCCGGCATGGACCATGACCAATTTCTGGGTCGCCAAGATGCCGCAACATCTTCGTCATGGCCGTCATTCGGCGGCGAGTCTGGGGGGAAGTGGGAGGAGGCAGGCCTGCTCAGGAGGCGGCGGGGCTTCTCAGAAGCCCTTCAGCCTCCCGAGAAATGTCAGAAGCCTTCTCTGAAGGCAGAGATGGCTTCTCAGAAGGTCGGAGGGCTTCTGAGAAGCCCCGCCGCCTTCTGGGAAGGCCTGCCCCGTCGCACTTCCGCCCTGGGCGCAACGCCGAATCGCGTTTCTTCCCTCGGGCTCCGCCGCCGCATGGCGCCAAGCCGCCAACGCAGCGAAGCGCAGCGAGTCGCGGTGGGCCACAAGCAGCGCGGCGTCTGCCTGCAGCAAGCGCGCGTCCGCCATGCCGGAGAAGAAACCGACCGAGCGGTGCCTGCCGTGAGGCCCCGCAGACGGGGAACCGAAAGACGACGACGACGACGACGACGACGACGGCGACGGCGACGGCGACGGCGACGGCGACGGCGACGGCGACGGCGACGGCGACGGCGACAGCGACGGCGACGGCGATGGCGGCAGCGACGGCGACGGCGACGGCGACGGCGAGGACGAGGAGCAAGACGAGGACGAGGTCGACGCGCGCGCGCGAAGAACTTTGTCAGGCCAGGGCCCAGACGTGCGCTCATCGTTAACAAAATCATGTCAGGAGGTTTGCCGCCATGTTCGGCCCGTAGGGGCCCTCGCCGAAACCCAATACCTTAAAAAACGACGAACGGGATGAGAAGCCAGCCCTACGGAAAGGGCCGGCACTTCCGGACACCACATATATCCGCCGGCCCCCTTGTGGGGCCACCAGGCTGTAGGCCGAAGCATCGCAGTTCCCTGTACCAGTTGCAGCTTCCAGTTTCCACTGTTACAGTTCTGCTTCTTGCTGCTTACTGTTCCTTGTCGACTTCTTGCTGCTTACTGTTCCTTGTTGATGGACCGCGCGAGGGGGGGAGGCCCAAAACGGGCATTCTTACCACGCCCTGGGAGGGTTCTCAGAATTTCTTGGGGGGTACAAATTGACACGCCTCACGCAGATCGGCGGGGTTAGGGTCCAAAGACACATGGGATTTGCCACAAGCACCCATCACGCAGATCGGCGGGGTCAGGGTCCAAAGACACACAGGATTTGCCACATTTCTGACATTCGGTGGCACCCCTCACGCAGATCGGCGCGGTCAGGGTCCAAAAACACATGGGATTTGCTACATTTCTGACATTCGGTGGCACCCCTCACGCAGATCGGCGCGTCCAGGGTGCAAAAACACATAGGATTTGCCACATTTCTGAAATTCGGTGCCACCCTCACGCAGATCCGCGGGGTCAGGGTCCAACAACACATGGGATTTGCCACATTTCTTAAAATTCGGTGCCACCCCTCTCGCAGATCCGCGGGGTCAGGGTCCAAAAACACATAGGGGTTTGCAACATTTCTGGAATTCGGTGCCACCCCTCACGCAGATCCGCGGGGTCAGGGTCCAAAAACACACGGGATTTGCCACATTTCTGAAATTCAATGCCACCCCTCACGCAGATCCGCGAGGTCAGGGTCCAAAAACATATGGGATTTGCTACATTTCTGACATTCGGTGCCACCCCTCATGCAGATCCGCGCGGTCAGGGTTCAAAAACACAGGGGATTTGCCACATGTGCCACCCCTCACGCAGATCCGCGGGGTCAGGGTCCAAAAACACAAGGGATTTGCCACATTTCTGAAATTCGGTGCCACCCCTCACGCAGATCCGCGGGGTCAGGGTCCAAAAACACATGGGGTTTGCCACATTTCTGAAATTCGGTGCCACCCCTCACGCAGATCCGCGGAGTCAGGGTCCAAAAACTCAGGGGATTTGCCACATTTCTGAAATTCGGCGCCACCCCTTACGCAGATCCTCGGGGTCAGGGTCCAAAAACACATTGGATTTGCTACATTTCTGACATTCGGTGGCACCCCTCACGCAGATCGGCGCGTCCAGGGTGCAAAAACACATAGGATTTGCAACATTTCTGAAATTCGGCGGCACCCCTCACGCAGATCGGCGGGGTCAGGGTCCAAAAACAAATGGGATTTGCTACATTTCTGAAATTCGGCGGCACCCCTCGCGCAGATCGGCGGGGTCAGGGTGTAAACAAAATACAGAAAGGATGTGGCGCATTTGTAAAACTCGGTGGCACCCCTCACGCAGATCGGCAGGGTCAGGGCCCAAAAACACGGGATTTGCTGCATTTCTTAAATTCGGCGGCACCCCTCACGCAGATCGGCAGGGTCAGGGTCCAAAAACACAGGGGATTTGCTGCATTTCTGAAATTCGGCGGCACCCCTCATGCAGATCGGCAGGGTCAGGGCCCAAAAACACAAGGGATTTGCCACATTTCTGAAATTCGGCGGCACCCCTCACGCAGATCGGCAGGGTCAGGGTCGAAAAACAAACAGGTCCTGACACTGCTTCACGGCGGCGCCCAGACCTCATGATTTAGCTTTTGCATCTCCCATTATCCGAGACAGGGGGCCGGCGGCATGGGGCGAAGCCCTTGAGGCCCTCACGGATAAAAAATGTATGTTGGTTATCTCATTTCTAATTAAAAATCGGGTGTGTGAAATAACAAACCAGGACAACTCCGGGTCGGCCAAACGGGGGGGGGGGGCAGTAGACAGGGGGGTAGCAAATCAGCTCGCGTGGCTGATTTTCACGCCGCGCCCCAGCGCTGGAGGCGCAAACGTATGGAGAGAAAGCGCTCGGAGGCGGGGCCGAAACCAGCTGCACGAAACATCTTTCGCACCCTGCTCATTCCCAGCCCCCGACACCCTCCAAATCTCTCCGGCTCGGATGTCGTCCAGCGGGACATCCGCTCTCTCCGCCTCGGATTGGCAAATCTCTGGCTTCTGGGGCCCTGATGCTGGTCTGACCTCGTTTTTGTTTTTCCGGGCGAACTTCCCGATATGGAATTCTCGCCAAACGGCTGGAAACATCCGTCATCAGCGACCTGCTTCTGTGACGGGGCGCGTCTGTGTCCTGCTCGTGCCTCTGTGCGCCATCGTGCGCGGCAGCTCGATCGTGAACTACGGAATCGACGATGAGGAAAAAACATAACTACCAATACTGGTTCTCTACGGACCTCTCCTGGGGCGCGTCCTGACCAGACCTTCGAGGCGAATCCAGCCATGGCGACGAGGGACGCGCAACGGCATCGGTATCTAGGAAGCCACCTGCCACCCGGGCGAGACGAAGCGGAGCTGAGGGGAGTCCGACGGGGGGTTGGCCCACTGGGGGGACGCAATGACCTGGGATCGACGACCCAATTGTCTCAGACAACCCTCCACCGCTGAAAGTCCTGGGATCCCGCTGCTGGGCGACTCCGGAAACCGTAAACCCAAAACTGATGGCGGCTCACTTTCCTTTCAGGCGGGCCCAAGGAACGCACAACAGCCATCACCACCAGGAGGGTGGAGGCGAGGGGTGGTCAGGGGTGGTGATGGCGTTTATGGTTTCGGGCCGCTCTCGCGAGACACCATGCACACCCGCATGCCCATTCCGTGTACCGTATCAGCTCATTCTGAAAACCACCCAAGTGGCAGCGGTGCGCTTCCCAACAGGGGCATGGCGACACCGGTCCCCGACTTTGTACGGCTGTCGACTGGACCAACAAATTAAGACCCAATCGAGGATAGACGATTGGGGGCGTCCATCCTCGATCGGGGTAAGTTCGAATGGACCCGGGGGTGCATCCCCAAGCTTCCAACATGTATTGTAATGTTTGTCATGTCCCTATCTGTGGACAGTCTCCGATTTGAGAAGGTCATTGAATTAATTGAAAAATCCGCCAACCCTGTCGGCGTGTGGAAGAGGCTGTTCCATTTAACTCGCCGTCGTGGTCGTCGTGGTCGTCGTGGTCGTCGTGGTCGTCGTCGTCGTCGTCTTCGTCGTCGCCTTCGCCGCTCCCCTCTCTTTCCCCTAGGCCCGTTGTCACTGAATCGAAGGGAAGCCCCTTCCCTTTAATTGATCCCTTCCCCGTCGGGGGGAGGGGGTCGGTCCCGGAGGAGTGGTCCCGCCGGGGGGGCCCCGGGGGGGGGGCCCGGGTCCTTTCGGGGTGTCCCGGGGGGCATCGCCACCCAGATGCGGCTCCATCCGGGGGGGGTCGCCACCCAGATGCGGCTCCCCCCGGGCGGTTCCGGGGCCTAGAAAAGCTCCAAGAACGCAGAAGTGCCCCAAGATGCCCCCAAGACGGCGCTCGAGGGCCCCGAATCGCCGAAGTACCGATCCAAGTCGCCAATGTAGCCTCTGGACGGCTCAGACGGCTTCCAAAACGCCCCAAGAGGCCTCCAAGAGGACTTCCAAGAGGGCCCCAGGGGGCGAAAATCATCGAGTTCCCTGAGGTTTTTGAAAGATCTCGGCATTCTCGCCTTGTCAGCTTCCCGACGCTCCAAGACAGGCCAAGAGGCCCCCGAGACCGTCCAAAGATGGCCCAACAGGCCTCACAGCAGAAGAGGCCCCTAAGATGGCACTTTAGAGGGAGCCCAGACGAGGGACCCGAACGGTCATTTCGAGCCCTCGGCCTGAGAAGCCCCAAAGGAGCCCCCCGAGAGGTCCCACGAGGCCCTCAAGAGACCCCCAGTAAGTCCCAGGAGGCTCCCACGAGGCTCCCAAGCGGCCCCCGAGAGCCTCCCAAGAGGCCCCCTAACTACCCCCCAAGAGGCACCCGAGAGGGCTCGTCCTCGTCGTCGTCGTCGTCGTCGTCGTCGTCGTCGTCGTCGTCGTCGTCGTCAACGTCGTCGTCGTCGTCGTCGTCGTCGTCGTCGTCGTCGTCGTCGCCATTCAGGGTCGGCAGCACTGGCCATAATTAAGGCCTTCGCAATAACAGAACAATCGGTTGCATGGAACGAGCGCAGCATGTGCGCGTTCTACGTGTAGAATGTACCTCAACAGACGCTGGGATAATGAAACCGCGCGCAAGGCACGAGAAGTAAGTGCGCGAGTCGCCTTCAGACGTGATTCGCCCCAGGCATCTCGAACGCCCGTCTTGCGCGCCGACGGCGTCGGCCTGCCCAACTCGAACAGCGCCGACTACGCCGGAATCGTTACAGCGCGGGCGATGCCCGGGCGGCCGCTCGCACAACGAAACAAAGCAAAGGGGGGGAAAATGACCCGCCCCGGCCCCTGGGCCATGCCTGGCGCCAGACCTGACTACCTACCAGACCACCCCAACCCAACCCGAAGACCCGAATTTCGGGTTGGGGGGGGTACGGGTTCCATACGTGTTTTCTCGATGTTCCACGACCCCCCCCACTGGAAATCGAGGATAAATTGGGGCCTTCGGGTTGGGTTGGGGTGGTTTGGTAGGTGGTGAAGACCGGCCGAGCGCCCCGACGTCGTTTTGTCCCAACCCTGGCC